AAGCTTGGTTTGGTGTAGAAGGCTTCCAGCCGTACATGTTTGAGCCCTTGCCTCGCAACGCTGCCAGTTCTGTTAGCTCTACGCCTGCTGAAGACACAGACGTCCATCCCCGTGAAAACTGGGACGAAACTCAATGGGAAAGGAAATGATTCTGATTTCTTATTTCTACCGTTGCATATATTAGCTGCGACATATGAATCAAGATGCTATGAGCGAAAAATTTTAACTGACAGATGACCGTTGATGTACGATTGGCCGAATTTAGGTGTTCAGGCTGACGTAGAACTAACTGGCCTGCAGAAGATTACCGTACGAAAAAACCACAGATTTTAAGACAGGATTTTTGTTTATATATAGAAATGTCCCAACTTTTGGGGCAATATCCTCTGATAAAGAGTACATTTATATACATGTTTAAGCCAGATTGATTTCACATTTAAATATGACTTCCCTATGACTTTAAATATTATTTCAGTTAAATATAGGAAAAAAGTCAAAATTCTGACTTTTTTCTCAGAATTTTCAGAATCAGAGTCAGAATCAAGTTTATTGCCAAGTAGGTTTGCACTTACAAGGAATTTGACTTGGTGTTGTTGGTGCAGACAAAAAAAACTAAACAAAACAAAATAAGATAGGATATATATGACTGAATTCTGACAGCTAACAAACGTGTTATCATTAAGCCGTAGTCATGTCTGTTTTAGAGAGTAGCTCTCTTGTTTTAATCACCTTCTGCTCCTCCATTAATGAAATAGCATCACTAAGGACCCCTCAGGCACATAAAAAGTCGCCTAATTCCATCATTTTCCACCAGTGCGTTACCGCCCTCCCAAACAACTCACATCTTTGTCAGTGAAGCTATCCACATATCTTCCTTCATGGTGCCCTTTAAGATTAAGATCTAAAATTCTGAGATTTTGGACTTTTTTCCAATAATAAACTGAAATAATATTTAAAAATCAGTTAACCTCCTTTTATTTTTTCAGCGGCCCTACTTCCGTAGAATAAATCTCAGCAGCCTTCGATATGTTTTTAAAGGTTATAAACTGCTCTGCTGCCAGTCCTTTTTTTTTAAATCTTTTTGCAGCCGTTTGTCCCACAGCACATAAAACCAGCTGAGAGCGGACAGAGCTTTATCTGTTGCAGGTCCTGAAATGACTCGCTGTATCGCCACTCCTTTAAAAACACACTTTTATTCCCGGGCCTTCGAAAAGACCGAGTTGCTTTATAATCGATTATAAAGTAAAAAGAGGTGAGTTTTTGTTTTAACCTGTTCAGCCAATCTCTTTCTCCAGTCACTGATTCAAACAACGTATTGGTTCCTGATATTCACTCGTCTATAACTGCAGAGGAGGTTTTTAGAAGCAGAGGCAGACTGACCCGTCTCCTTCAGGTCACTGGCTTTGGTCCGGGCCTGTCGGTCCTTCACGCTGTCGCCCTCGTGTGGGTTATCCCTGCAGGTGAAGATCATGAGCCGTTTGTGCGCCAGCCGCAGCTTGATGTCGCTGTAGAGGTTGGCGCAGCACCACAGGGCGTCACCGAGAGACGTCTCCCCGCTACCCAGGGTCTGTGCTGCCAGCTGCGCACCTTTCTCCCCCCGCAGAGCGTCCACTTCCTGAACCCGCTTGGCACCTTGGGTAAATGTTCAACAGCTTTTAAACATAAAGTTAACAAACTTAGGCAAGGGTATTTCTTAAAACCCTCTTTATCTGTCAGGATCCAAAAGTCCTCCTACTTGGGTGAATAAGCTCCAGTCTTACCAAACAGAGAGCGATTTAGTGTCTGAAGCGGGACTCTTACCTGGTTCATCAAGGTCGTGGTACACATAAACGTGTTTGAATGAGTTCCTGGGGTTTTTGCACTGCTCTGTGCCATAAAACACCAAAGCCACCAGGTCCCGGTGGCTACTGATGATCTTACTGGTGTAAACGCTCCGAACAACCTGCAACCACATTAGATAATGATGGACCAGAGAAGATGTACGAGAACTAGGAAAGGATAATATCCATTAATAGAATATAACAAAATCATTTATTACATCTGACTAATTAATAACATGGAAAGGGGTCTGGCTGCAGACCTACACTGTCACTGTCACTGTATGTGCTGCCTGATTTTATTAGAAGGAGATTACTTTTTCATACTTTTCCCCACTTAAAGACCAAGAAACCATGTTTTATCATAATTTTTGGGTGATTTTCTTTACTTATTCCAACATTATGTCCCTTACAGACGCATGTTTCAATGTAGTTTTTTGGAGTTTGACCAAAAATTAAATGCTGCACATCAATGCTGTGAAATCTGCTGTTCCGACCATAAAAGCACTTCCAAGAAAATAAAATAAATAGACATTCAAAAGTTTTTGTGGGTAAAAAACTGCAGTCATGCTAGAGCAGAACCATGAACGGATCCAGATTCCGGTCCGGATTATTTCCACTGTTAAATGGATCCAAGGATCCAGAATGACCATCCTGTGGTTCTGTTAGTGAATCTAAACTCTGGATAAACTCCTTCAGGTCTCCTAAATGGGTCCATTTAGCAGCGCTGCACGGAGGAGCAGCAGAACTTCTCTGCTGGATCAGAAGGAGAGGATGAGAGAAAACGATTGGAAGAGGATAGAAGACGTGCTAGCAGTTAGCATGGTTGATGGAGAAGCTTTATGAGGTAATGAGCTTCATGGGACCAAGTTCTAACATTCCTGTTAGAGGAACCAGAACCAG